CTTACAGTGAGTTTTACGGAAGGTGCTTGTGGATAAAGTCTGATAGTAGTTCACAATGTTAATAATTCCGTACATGTCAGATCTTACTTATTTCCTGATGTTTTTTTGGTGATTTCCAGGACACTATATTGTATGTTTCTCGAGGGTTAGATTCACACTCTTTATTTATGGAATTGTCTCGTCTGTTTACTGGTGGAACCCCTGATCTCCACTTGGCCAATTTTCTTCACATGATCATGACCATGGCGGAATCGGGTTTGCCCGATGAGCAGACTGAACTTTTCATTGTAAACAGCCAGAAAATGCCAAAACTGCCAGAAGGAGAACCAGTATGGTCCCTTCCAGAGTGTGCATCTTTAATGGGAAATCAAGAGGCACTGATGACTAACGTTGAATCTGGAACAACAGAAGAGCCAAATCCAGTCAAACCCAAACAGAGACCAGGAAAAAGTTTTCTCTCTAATTGGCCACCCACAAATTGGAGAAATGCCCCTAGTTTCCCTTTCCCCCATGTGTCTAATTTAAAAGCACAACCGGGCAGTGATGTGAAAATATTAAATCAGGATGAGGTGACAGAAATCATGAGGAATCCGGAAAAGCATCCCCATGCTCCAATTGACATCCACTTTAGGGGACTTGTTGAAGATATTTCAACAACTGCCAGTGCACCTGGGGTAGCGAGTGTACCAGATTCTGAAATTTCACAAGACAATATATCATCAGAAGAGGTGAGTATGTGCTTGGAGTCTTTTCCTGTTGTGACTACTCTAGAAGCCAGTTCGGGTTCTGGTTTGGTTTCAAATGTGAGCGATAGTGGTCAGCTATCTCTTACCAGCACATCCAGCTCAGTAAATGGACAACAGGCAATGTTGACGGGCAGGCTTGGAGAGTTTGTTGCCTTCAAATACTTCATTGGAAGTGTTGGAGAAACATCGGTGAAATGGGTGAACGAAACTATTGAAACTGGGTTGCCTTATGACCTTTTAGTAGGAGATAAAGAATATGTAGAGGTGAAGGCAACCAGACAGCTGAGAAAGGATAGGTTCAACATATCCACGAGGGAGTGGCAATTTGCAGTCGAAAAGGGTGAACTTTACAGCATTGCACTTGTTGTTTTATCGGCAACTAACAATACAGCAACAGTCAAAATATACAAAAATCTCGCCAGACTTGTCCAGCTTGGTAAGGTGCAGTTGACCATTGCACTCCATTAAAAAAATTCCTTTCTTTTATAAATTTATTCCCCCTAATGTTGGATTCTTTGGATCCTTAATCAGTTTCCATCCAAACGTCATCTGTAAAAATGTAAAATGTTTGTTGCACAGGCAAAAGTGTAAAAAGGACTCTCCCTCCGTCCCTTAAAATTTTTCTATCTTTTCTTTCCTTTCCTTTGTCCCAAAAACATTGTCCTTTTCTCTTTCAATCAATGAATTCGTGGTCCTTGTTATTCTCCTTGCTGGTCAAATTTGGCGAAATTTTAACGGATAAGAGTATTTTTTATGCGGCGAAATTTTAACGAACAAGTGTATTTTTTATGCAAGTAAGCCACAGTAGAATGACCTGTTCTTATACTAATTAGATTTTCATTCCATGTATACTAAGGAGCCATATGTGACTCTCTTACGGAGTCACATGGGCTATTGTGGCACCATCCCCACCACACATTATTTTAGTGGAGCGGGCCTCCACTAAAATAATGTGTGGTGGGGATGGTGCCACAATAGCCCATGTGACTCCGTAAGAGAGTCACATATGGCTCCTTAAATTTTTTGCAAGTCAATAATAGCCCATGTGACTCCACCCGTTCCTCTTTACTTGAAAGAGGAACGGGTGGGTACAAGAGGGACTTTCATAACTGGTAAAACCTAAAGTTTGCAATGTTTTAGAATATTTTTACCCTTTAAAGCATTGAAGTATAATTTTCAATGGCACCATAGTTACAAGTTAAAATTGTAAACATGAGAACTAAGGCCCCATAAAAAGTAGACAATATTATATAATGACGTAAATAAGTTTCAAGAAATATAAATAAATAGATAGTTCAAGGAATTATAAATTTATACTACCTCCGTCCCTCTTATATTGGGACGGAAGAGGGTGGCACGATAATTAAGAAAAGTGAGTTTATGTGGTTGATATTAATTGATAAAGTAAGAATAAAGTAAGAAGGATTTGTTGGAGCCACGCAAACTTTACCAAATATGATATGTGACAATTTTAGTAGGATTTTCCGAAAAGGTAAAACGAGACAAACTAAGGGGGACATAGGGGGTATTATTTAAAATACATAATATCTTAAAACAATATTACATATCTCTTATATTTAAAGCACTATTTTATAACTTTTTAAATTAAGAATTTGTATGATGACTCTATTTATTCAATTTATCAGTCATATTAGTTAGTTTTTTCAACAAACATGTAACTTTGGATTTTACGCGTTGAATTGTGTAATAAAAAAAGTAAGATTGAAGTTCCTTTTCCAACTGAATTTACTGAAGTTATTATAAATGAATCGTTTTAAGTATTTTTTATAATTTTTCACTATTTTATTAATAAAACATATTTTAAATAAAAAAAGTCATAATTCAGCAGATTCTGCCAATTCAGTTATTTCCCCCAAAACTTCATCAATTTCAACAAAATAAACCAAATCAACCAATTCAATTTTAGTATTACCAAAATGGGTGTGAAAATTGACAAACACTTGATGCAAAACACTCCCTTAATAATAAGCCACACGACATAGTTAGGATTAAGCATATAAACAAGGACAACTTTAGGGGGCAGGGGCGTCCAACCCCTTGAACTTTCAAATTTTTTTATTTTTTTCTATTCAGAAAAAGAAGATTTTATTCATATAAATTAAAAGTACAGTGCAAGCAAACAAATAAAAGTTTTAAAAAAGTACAGAGAAGAAAAGAACGTGTAAAAAACAAAAAACTAGACCCAAGGGAAATCTCTGAATTGCGATCTAGTCATCATGTTGTGTCACCTTTTGTTTTTCTGAGATTTCCTGTAAAGTTTGAGTTGCGCGTCCAGGTTGTCTGTTGGCGGACAATTTTCTGAGGTGACAAACTTTGATTTACAACAAATCGATTTGTTGAATTTGGAGTCCGCAATTTCTTCCTGGTTTGATAATGGAGGGTGACTATCACTTTTGGTTGCATGTTCTAGAAAATCATCTTAGAAGAAAGAGTCATCAAAATGATCAAAGCTGTCCGAGGCATCAGAGTAGACCTGGATAAATGGAGTTTGTGGATATTTATTATTCTATAAAAAGAATGCTAGTTTTGTAATGTTAAATTTATCTTTATTAGATATCTTTATTAGATATCTAGTTTTGTAAAATATGAAGCAATATAAATATCACACACATTAGTTATTCCAGTCTGTCCAGGATCGGAACCGAGACGGAGCCTACTCTTACAAGGATCCGGATCCTCTGTCGTAAGGCAGGGGTGCCTTGCGCATCGGAGGGCAGGGGAGCGGCCAAGACGGCCTCGAGATCGGCGAAAAAGTGGAGTTCAAGATCTCCAACCGTTGAATTGTCGATTGGACGACCAGGAAGAAGCAAGACACTCTACCTTACTCTAAAGTAAGGTAGAGGCTCCGGATCCCTCTTAGAATGAGTTATCCATGATAGATAAAAAGTGTAATTGGAAAATTGATTATGTTTTGTGTTTAGACTCGTGCAACTATACCATACATAAGTTATTTAAAAGTATTTGTAAATTCGTTTTACCTTTTGGATTATTTATAGCTAAATAATTTGATAAAATTTTAACCTTTTTTCCCCCTTAAAATAGGTAGGGGCAGCGCGAACGCAGGCCCCCTGCCAAAAATTAGACGTAGGCTACACCGATGTAGGCCATGGGTCTTCATGATCACCTATAGACCAAGTGCGATAAAATTTTAACCTTTTTATTATCAAATAGTTTTCTTTTGATTTTCTATTTCCGAGGTTTTAATTTACAAATATTTTTTATAGAACACTTCAATTATAAAATCTATGCAGAGAGATGCAGGGCATGTCCATTTCTGGACCTATGGACGGTATACTATATTGGGCATATATCCAATACAAATATAAAATATCTAATAAAGATCATAAAATAAAGTAAAAAATCACTATACTAGTAGTATTTAAAATACATATTTGGGCAAAAGTAACAACACAAGTATTACATAAAAAGATAAAATATTACTTAAAACGTTTCTCGCTGAACATTGTGAACCAAAATCATCAATAATCGCTTAAAAGGAATAAAAATCATTAACATCTAAAGAGATGTGAAGATTGAAGAGATATGTCTTTTATTGATTCAGCAACAATTGTGTTGCTTTAAAAACTACAACTGGTCCTACTTAAAATTATTGTATATTCTTTATTTAAACTTGGCTTCATTGTCAACAAAAATTAAATATTAGGCCTAATTAATTGAACTTAAAAATAAAAAAAAAGTCTACTCACACTGTATATGTAGAAAACATTTTGGGCCTATCTTTTTCTCTATCTTTTTCGGCCTAAAGCGGTCGTCCCTGTTGCGCCATAAAGCTCGTCTAGTTGTTTAGAGGTTCAATCAACGGGCTGGTGTAGATTTTTCCAAGACTTTCAGTCCAGTCATTAAACCCACCACTGTCAGAGTTGTTCTTGCCTTAGCTATTTCTTTTGGGTGGGTTATTCGTCAGTTGGATGTTAAAAATGCCTTTTTGCATAGTCACCTCACTGAGGAAGTGTATATGCGCCAACCGCGGGGTTTTACCCATCCATTGTTACCTAATCATTTGTGTGGACTGCGAAAAGCCATTTATGATCTTAAGCAGGCTCCGCGGGCATGGTTCTATCGGTTCAATAGTTTTTTATTGTCTCATCAGTTTATATGCAGCAAGTATGATAATTCCTTGTTCATATACCGTCAGAATAATTGTGTCATTTATTTATTATTGTATGTAGATGACATCATTATTATTGGCAACTCGTCCCTCTCTTGTTTCTTCCTTTATTGATCGTGTTGCTCAGCATTTTGCTATGAAGGATCTTGGTGGCCTTCACTATTTTGTTGGAGTCCAGGCTAAACGTTCTGAAAATGTTTGTTTCTCTCTCAACACAAATATGTTTCTGATCTTCTCTCTCGTTTCCATTTGCATGCGGCTAGGCCTCTTCGCACCCCCTTGCTACTCACACTTCTTTCTCTCTCACTGATGGTGAGCTCCTTGCAGATGACACTAAGTATCGTAGTACGGTTGGTGCATTACAATATTTAACTTTGACACGACCTGATATTACCTATGTTGTACATTTAGTGTCTCAGTTCATGCATGCTCCCCATACTACTCATCTCTTTGTTGTCAATAGAATTTCAGGTATTGCAGGGGACCTTGGATCACGGCTTATGGTTATGTCCCACTACACAGGCCACGTGTGTTATTGCCTATTCTGGTGCTGATTGGACTGGTTGCCCGAACACATCTTGGAATTGCTCCACGATGGGATTTGCTGTCTTCCTAGGGCCGAACCTGGTCTCTTGGAAGTCTAAGAAACAACCCACAATTTCTAAGTCTTCTACACTGGCAGAGTATCGAGTTGTTGCTTACACCGTACAGGATACTTTACACATTCGTTCTATTTTATTCGAGCTTGGGTTTCCTGTGAAGGCTCCTGTTCAGTTATTCTGTGATAACATCTTTGCTTCTTATTTGACGGCTAATCCTATTCAGCATGTTCTTAGCAAACATATTCAGATAGACTATCACTTCGTCAGAGAACGAGTTGCACATGAAGATTTGGTCGTGAAATATATTCCTACACAACTACAGTTGACTGATATTTTTACTAAAAGTCTTTCTAGTCAGCAGGTTTCATTTTTTTAAAAGACAACATGTGTGTTGTATCTTCCACACAGTATGAGGCGGTGTAAAAGAATAGAATATCTTTAGGAATATTGTTTCCTTTTGTATCTTGAACTCTCTTAATATATATACATATGTCAGGACTCCTATTGGAGAATCTTTCCCGTTAATTCTCACAGTAGGAAAGTAGAGGAATGATCAAGTATTGAAATTCACAGCGACCGTGTGGAGGTTAAACTCGTGTGCGCTAAGGTAAATCTTTTGTGCGCAAGAGTATAAGGTATATAACTATATATACTGCCACTGAACTGATTAGTCACCCTAATTTACCATCTCACAAAAATATTGTCATGTCGGAACATGGGAACTGGAAAGCCATTGGGTTGAATATTCAACTTTTGGAGGAATATTAATATTAGCGTCGGTTGATCGAAGAAGCCAGCGTAATCCACAACTAATAATTGTTGGGTCCCTTGTTGAGTAGGAAACCAAGCCTTCCTAGTCAGCTCCACGAGGAATAATTACTGAAGAAACGGAAACTCGTTTTCCGTGGGTTGTATGGGCCCTTGTTTGTCTACGATGTGGCTGGCTCTGCCCCAAGTTCTACACCCAATTGTGCTGTGCTCATCCATTTCTTCAAAACCATTGCACCATTTTAGCTCCTTATTGAGAGGACCACAAGTGGATTATACTGAATTATGATCACCTCAAACTTCTTCAGTATGAATATTTGGATTATAAATCATGGTATCCAACTAAGAATCCAACCTTTCCCTAGTTCTCTCTCATCTCCATACAAAATGTAATATCATTATAGAACAAATATTACGTAATATAATAGGTTAAATCTTACTTCTATTTTTTCTCAAATGGTCTATTTTTTTTTAGGATTTTTCAAGAAGAGTTGTGTGCTCTAGGTATCCCATTTTTATCTCACACTTTGTATGATTCAAATGAGGTCAGATTTAAATAGTTGACACACTTAAACGTATTGTCCTATTTGGGCCACACAATAAGAGGGTAAGAATGAGGTACACCAAAATGAGGTACCTATACAAGTCCACAAATTTGTGGAGTTTCCACACTCCTCTACTATTGTGTGGTCATTATCCACTTCTTTGAAAGGTCTTAGAATACTTTTAGAACATTTAATATATTTCTATAAAATTCTAGAGAATTTTAATCATATAATTACATAAAAAATACCGAATATTTTAATTCTTTTGCACTTCTCAAATTACAAGAGCCTAACAAAAAACAAAGTATGTAATACAATTATAGATTTATAGAATATGCAATGGTCAATTAAAGCACAAAAGAATCAATGAACATGTTACAAATTAGGGTAAATAGAAATGTGGCGATACGTGAAAACAGGAAGATACGAGGGCCTAAAATTGTACGTTCAAAGCGAACATGTCGGTATCACCTTTTACTTCTTAGCAAAGCATTAAGTGTAACTTCACGGGAATCATAATTCACAGCTTGGATTTTTTAAAAACGACACTATAACTTTTGGGTACACAAATTTTGTTTGTCTAATTTCGTACACAAATTTGAATCATTACATTCACACATACCATGGCTACCATGATAGACATTGGACACAAATTACACTCTATGGTACGTTTACGCGATCAAACAACCGCGTGCAATTTTGTTCATTTTTGTCTGTCAAAAAACAAATTGTTTATTTTAAGGGACATTCATTTGCTTTTCAACTCGCTCTCAAATTGATTCTTGTTTTATTAAATTAATCTTCTTTTAAATTATGTTTATTCGTCTATAAAGGGAATAATTTTCTATTTGCTTGTTCGGTTTAGAATTTATAAGTGGATGCAAAACTGATTTTTCTTTTACTCATTTATCTATCTATCAATACTAAATTAGTAATAGATACTTCCTCCATTCATTTTTAGTTACAACGGTCCACTTTTTCATATTTGTCAACGCACTAAATTGATTATTAATATCTTTCATTTCTTATTAGTACAAACATTAAAATATCTAGATTTTGAAAATTTAAAATGAGATGAATTTTACAATATTTGTCAAAGTTTTAATATATATAACCAATTAAGTTCGTCATTTTTTATTTTAAGCGAAAATATATCACATTTACATGCACATCACACGTTTATAGTGTTTACTACTACCCCGTCCCAAAAAATTCTTCCCACTTACCATTTTGGGCCGTCCACAAAAATTCTTCTCGTTTCCTTTTTGGAAAGGTTTGTGCGGCCACCATTCATTTACCTTTTTCTTACTCAATCACAACCACACATTTCCACTTTGTTCTCACTTTCCTAAACCCCGATCCAAGTCACACTGGAAAGAATTTTCTGGGACGGAGGGAGTACATATTTCACACAATTAGTCATATTTTTTTAAAACTCAATATCATTTACACCATAAATATATGGTTTACTTCAATATACAAATAATAGTATAATTACACACTTCACTCGTATTTACGCCATATACAAATGTATTTACACTAAACGTAACATCATTTACACTAGTTTTTTAGAACTAGAAACAATAACACCATTTTGAAATTTGAATGAGAGTATCGTCCGCGTGAAATTTGTCCCAAAACGTGAATATAGTGACCATTGCTGTACATGAAATGTATAGCTTTTGAGAGGAAGTATTCAAATTTGAAATTTTCACTACACTTACGCCCAGGCAGCCTTGCAAGTTATTACAATTTAAAATATTAATGACACATTTCAATTGCAAATTTTGGTTGCTCCATATACAACCAAAATTTGGAAAAACGATTTCCCGTGCACATGTGTGAGGCCATCCCCAATTAATCTCTTTTAGAGATTGTTTACTCTTTTTATATTAAATTCTGTCTATATTAAAACGTCTGTTTAGATTAAGTGGTATTTGTATATGAAGTTGTTTACTTTATGTGTTGAATATATGATCTGAATTGAGTAAAAGAATCATTTATTAATTGACGTCTTAATGATAAGTACTATATTTCAACTTAATGTTTAAGTCAGTTTTTTGACCGAATGATTAAGTCGTGATTTCAATTAAGTCGTAAGTAAACATGACTTAATGGCTGAGTGATTAAGTCACTGTTCTCATCAAGTTCATTAAGTCGAAAGTAAACAACCCCTTGTACCCTCATTCTTTCAACCAGTGTAACGATGTTTTCAATTGAATTAAATTTATAGTCTAATCTGATATGATCTTGTCTAATTTGTTTAAGTTCTATTCAAATCTGATTTTAGATAACAACCTTTCCAATTAAAAACGCCCCAACACTACAAATCCTAAACAAAGAATGAAATACTCTTTTCCAATTTACAAATGTTCATTTGATAATAATTGCTTCGATCAATGACAAATTTATATGGGGTGTATGTCTATATGTTTATATCTACATAATGAGATGAATTAACTCTCTCATTATCTTCCATTTCTCTCATCCTTTTCTTTCTCTTCCCACATACCCCCCCCCTCTTTCCATACATACACCTAGGGATGGACTCGGGCCGGGCGGCCCGACCCGGAACCGGCCCGGTTACTGTTGAGCCCGGCCCGGCCTGGGAACCGGTGGGCCCAGCGGTTCGGGTCGAACCGGCCCGGCCTTTGGGCGGTTCGGGCTCAGGCCTATGTTTTGGTGAACCGGCCCGGCCGGTTCGGGCCGGAATTTATTTTTTTTTTTTGAAATTTTTTAAAGTTTTGGGTTGGATTAGGTATTTTGGGCCATTTGAGGTGGTTTGGGGTGGTTTGGGGTGGAGGGGGAGGGGTAGGGGGTTAAATAAGAGAAGAAGAAAAAAAAATTAAAAATCCGGGTGGCCCGGCCCGGAACCGGACCCGGAACCGCCCACCACCGGTTCGGGCTCGGGCCTCATTTTTCTGAACCGAGGCCCGGCCGGGCCTAGGCCCGAACCGGCCCGAGGCCATCCCTACATACACCCCTCCTCACTCACTTCTTCCCTCTGTTTTCTATTTCCTTTGTACTCATTTTTTTTACATTTCTTTATTTATTAATTACCACTTCTCCTTTTCATCTTGATTTTCTATTTTATTATGGCTAAAGAGTCAAATAGGCCCTTGAACTGACTTAAAGTGTTCAATTAGCCCCTTATATAGGAGGTTCTGCCCGGCCGTCGCCAATTGGGGCGGTTCCCGGTGGAATTTTTTGATGAATTTTTTTGAGCATCTTCTTCATTAAGTCTAGTTTACTCATACCAAATTTCAGCTAAAAATTAAACCGGAAAGGCAGTCAAATGATATTTTGAAGATAACTGTGAAGTTAAACAGTGCAGTACATTTCGGAAAATCATTTGACTGCCTTCCCGGTTGAATTTTTAGCTGAAATTTGGTATGAGTAAACTAGACTTAATGAAGAAGATGCTCAAAAAATTTCATTAAAAAATTCCACCGAGAACTGCCCCAATTAGCGACGGGCCGAGCAGAACCTTCTATATAAGGGGCTAATTGAACACTTTATGTCAGTTCAAGGGCCTATCTGACCCTTTAGCCTTTTATTATTAACAGAGATTCTTCGGGGGGGGGGGGGGGGGGGGGAATCAGAAAATCACCGGACAACTTTACCATATTCCATCATACTTACATCGTCGAGTTTTCCCTAAATCAAAAAACTAATCAGGAATAAGAATTTGCCGGCAAACAAAACTAAAAAATTAGTAACTTCATATGGGTGTATGTGCACAAACATTGGTTGTTTGTGCACAGACATTAATTGTTTGAGCACAAATAAAAATGCCTATATACATAGATATTAATTGTTTGCGACAGACAAAAATAACTATGCACATACAATACTTGTATGTGCACAACCATTGTTAGCGTGCAACAAAACGCTGATTGAAATACTATTCACAACGATTTGCGTTCTTTTTGCAGATGTTCGCGTCAATTGCGTGCAAACCAATGTCTGTGCACATACATACATTAGTTGTTTGCAACATACAAAAATGTATGTGCATAGGTACGGGTTTGAATTTATCAAGTTAAACATATAGAAATTTAGTTCGTTTTCAAGTTATATTTTTCTTATAAACTATTTATATCAATATTTAGGACCACAAGGGCAACAACTCCGACGACTTTCGAGAGACTGTGAAACTCCGATTATTTTTCCGGCCTTGAAAGATAATAAGGGTAAAGATAAAGAAGATGAAAGTATAATGATAAAGACGGAGGATGATTATTAAAAGTAGTATTAAAGATAAAAATGAATTGAAGAGAAAATGAGGGGAAATGGTTGAGGGGGAGAACCATGAGGAGAAGTGGGTGGAGAAATCAGAAATGTGAAGAGAGTGACTATACAAGAGGCAAAAATTATGTACTGTATTACTGCGTATTTAGACATCTTGTCATTGGCTTCAGTGCTGATGGTTATAACTTATAAATTAGAAGAAAATTTGTGAAAGGAACTGAAGTAAATCACCTACACTTAATCACATACGGAGTATGGTTTATGACATTCTTGCAATTCTAATACAACCAAACATATTACGGAATATTAAACATTATCACAACTTCACAAGCATCATTATAACAACCCTCATCTAGCCTTGCTTTTCTTACCAATAAGACCATAAGAAATCGCGGTGAAAATATGCACTTATCCCAAAAAAAAACAATAATTTTGATTCAGAAAGTTAAACACCCAAATCTGGGAGGAGTTTATCCTTAAACCCCACAACCATGCTTACATACAAATAAATAATTAATTAATTTGCATAGTGACCGGTTGACCACATTATATAGGTTGAAGGGTAAATATGTACACAATATAATAAGCACAAATTAAAATTTCACACAAAAGAATTTCTAATATTTATTTGGAGCTCCTTTGCCTCCACCCACTAACAAATTGCTAATAGGATAAAAAGAATCTCTTAATTAGTTTAGGCAACCAACATCTCATTGGTTTCTTGTAG